GTTTTTTTTTTTTTTTTTTCACTATTTGCCTAACGCGCAGAAATTTTGCCGCGCGCGCAGTCCGCAGTCCGCAGTCGCGTCGTCGTGTGGCCGTCCGGGCCTCGTCATATCCTCGTATCCTCGAATCCAGTCGCAGGTGGTGCGCAGTAGGCGCAGTGCGGCTTCTGGGGGTCTTTTTGCTCAATATCGGGTTCGAGAGCCCCCGGGGACCTGTGTTTAGTCAGCCCGGGTCTGTACCTCTAAACTGGCTGGCTCAAACTTTAACCCGGCTGTGGGGTACACAGCCTCTGGGTGTGAGGGCACAGCCCCTTCCCCAGATTACAGGTCAGATGACCTAGCTTTAGAGTTCTACAGTTCTCCAAATCGGCAGTCCGGTTCGGACTAATAGTGCAAGCGATACCGATACCGATATCCAGGCGCTGGCTTGAAGCGGTAAGGTTCCCTTTTCTTGTTTCTTGTTCAAAAAAAAAAAAGTTTCCCCGGCATCCACTTCTTCGATCTTGCCGCGTACTGTCCTCATCTCTAGATCGATCAGGTGTGTTCACCCTCTCTCTCTCTTCACCTCTCTCTAAGTGTTGGAGGTGGCTGACCTTCTTTTGAACTTATTGGATCTCGTTCAACAGATCCTTTTTCAGCCCAAAAAAAACATGGACGAAGCAGTGTCCACTGCCTCCAAAAAGAAGCCGCCCTGGCCACGTACTACCGGAAAAACCGCGGTCCCGTCGCTCGTATTCATTCTCGTGGGTCCGAATTCAGTCCCTCGTTCTTTGCCAGGTTCCGTGCTTGGTCATCGACGATGGAGGCTTCAAGATAAAAGGCAGGCCAGTTGGCCTTTCTTCCCTCCCTCATCCTCATCAGTCTTTCCAGCTCCCATTCCAAGTTCCATGGCTCGCTCCATCTTCGACCGACCTCCTACTCCATACCCCACTCAGGCTCATCCCCAACCGTTTGCTACGGTGAGTCGTCTTCTTCATCTCGTGACGCTCCCAACATCCTGAGCAGGTAGTGAACTAATCAATCGGTTTGGTGTTTTGTTTTCTTTTTAGGCCAGGGTACACCATCCCATGGCGATGATTGTAGATCACCCAGCCGATCACCCTGCACCTGTGACTACTACCACTGGTAGTTTGCCTCTAGCTGCTAGGATCTCGCCTGCGGGTACGACCCCCGTCATCAATGGGCCTCCGTTCCAACTGGCAGGAAGGGGTCCTCCCCCAGCTTACAGTGGCCCCGGTCTTGCGCGACCTGCTCCTGGCTATCGTCGGTACAATATCAGTTTCAACCGCGGCGGTTTTCGAGGGGGATTCAACCCAGGATCCAATTTCAGACCCAGGGGTTCGATCTCTCCCTTCCATCATTTCAATCAACGACGACAGGCGCCTAGCCGCCCCCGCACTCCGGTAAGCCGTTCTTTGTCAAAAGCTTTTGTCCTTTTCTTCTGCTTACTAACGCGGCTAGGGTAGGTTTTCTTTGTTAATCGGGCTTCAATCGGTGCTCCCGACGTCCCAGCAACTGCACCCCCCAGTCCTACCACGCCAACCAGCAGCGTGGAGGAACTTAATCTGGCTCGCTCCAGCTCCTCCGCTCCCAACAGTAGTGTTGCTTCGGCCGAGGACTTCGTCCTTCCTCGGCCTCGCGTTCCATCCCCTACTCCTGCTGGGATGTACGACCCTGCCGACTATCACCTCCTCTTGCGTCACCAGGTGGAAGCTCTGCTCGATCGACGCGCCGACCCCGCCCGTTTTGATAGATACGAATTTACACCCCAGCATATTGATGACCTCTACGAGTCCATCACTACTGCGATGGTCAACCATTTCACAACTTACCCTGCTGCTAATGCAGCAGAGCGCGAGAGCCGGGTTCGTTTATTTCGATTTGCGAGTCGTCGCTACCGCACCATGACTCGTAGAGTTTAGGCTAACCGTAAGTTTTTGTTTTTGGTTCTTAGAACCGTTTGTGGATTCAGTTTTTTCTGATCCCCATTCTTGAAACCCAGACTTAGCCCCCGCCTCGAAAACCAGCTTCGATGGACGACTAAATTCCAACTCTCACAGGGGTAAAAAAATTGCTAAAACCAAAAAAATCGGTAGAAAATTTTCTAAAACTAAAAAAATTATAAAATTTTGTAAAACCCAAAAAATTTTTGTTTTCCTTACTTAGTTATCTCAGAATCTCTTTCAGTTTGTTCTTCTAGTAAGCCAATCCATACCCCTCCCCCAACTTAAAAAAGGTTGTCCCCAACCTTAGTGAGTGAGTGAGAGACACAGCTGAGATATATGAGATAACTAAGCTCAACAAAAATATTCTGAGAAATCCTTTTTTAAGGATGTTTTGGTGAAACTAAAAAAGGCCTCCAAATTCATAGCTTTTTTTTTTTTTTTTTTTTTTATATTTTTTTTTTTTTTTTTTTTTTTTTTTTTTTTGTTGTTGTTGCTTAGAATTTGAAGTAAGAAAAACACGATTCCAAGAGAAGAGTTTCCCCCCCCTACTTGGAATTGTGCCCCTGAAACTGTTGATTTGATTTTTGTTTTTTTGTTTTTTTTTTTTTTTTTTTTTTTTTTTTTTTGTTTGGTTTTTTACTGGTCCAATTCAAGCAAGAGTGGTGAGGTTTTCCTCCCCCAACTTCCAAAAATTTGAGCCAGCTTATTCATTTTTGCCAGCATCAACCCCGTCAAGAAAAAAGGTAAGGATTTCCTCCCCCAACTTGAAAGAATTCATGCCGCATATATTATTTCTAATACCTTTTTCTACAATTATTTGCAATATTTGAACAGTTTAGTCTTGTGCCCAGGAGATAGCCAAGATTAATTTGAATCAGTGTCCTCAGATCCATCCTGGGAGTCTTCATGGTCAGAGTCACTATGCCTCTCCTCATGTTCACTACCGCTTTCTGGATCCTCCTCATCTTCAGTAATCTCATTCAGTCGCCGTCCTCGAGGGTAAAATCGTTTAATATGTGATGCCGCGTACGTTCAATTGAGTTCAGTTCCGTCTAGTTCCTCAAGAATGTAAGAGCCTTTGGGTAATTGTTTTTTGATTTTAAATGGTCCATTCCACCTATTAGCAAATAATTTCCCCCACTGGTCCTCCAAACTTTTGTTGTAGACTAAAACGAATTCTCCTCTGTCCAATGGTTTTCGTAGTCGTGCTGCCATTTTTCGGTCCCAGTATCTTACAGAATCCTCCCTTGATTTCAGCATCTTTTCATGGGCCTCCTTCAAAAGTTCGTCCCGCCTTTCTAGTTGCAAGGTTCGTGCTTCCAAGAGTTCTGATGTAGTTTTAATTTCTAACCAATCAACCCCTAAATAGGTGTCCATCTCAAGTTCCACTGGTAATACTGGTAAATGTCCAAAAACTAGCTCATATGGTGTAAATCCGGTTGTCCGTTTTGTAGAAATCCTGTCTGAAAATAATACCAAGGGGAGATATTTGCGCCATTTGCCACCAGATTCTCCGCACAATTTAACAAGTGCATCTTTAATTGGCCGGTGCCCGCGTTCAACCATCCCGTTTGCCTCAGGATAATATGGTGTTGTAAATTTAAGGGTAGCACCTATTTTCTTGACAGCGTCAATAAAATCTTCTTTAAACTCTGCGCCATTGTCCACAGTAACTGATTTGATAGAACCATATCTGTATACCCAGGATTCCAAAAGGAATTTGGCCACATTGCTTGCTGTAAGTTTAACTAAAGGTGCCGCCTCAACCCATCCAGACAAATCATCCCGCGCAACAATAAGGTATTTGTATTGTCCTGCTTTGATGTGGCAAGCGTCCAATGCTACTCGTCCAAAAAGAAAACTGTCCCCAGTTGCATTTCGGATTTCTCTTGGTACCAGAGGGTCTCGTTTCTGACAGGCTTCACAACTTTGTACCCATTTCTTGACCTTCTTTTTCAAGCTTGGCCACCAAAATCTAGTTACTAGTCGCTGGTATGTCTCTTCAATTCCCCGGTGTCCCAATTCCTCGTGTACTTTCCGGAGCAGTTTTTCCTGATAGGTATCCTTTGAAATTACGATTTGTGGTGCCGGTGAGTGTTTCCGCATGAGTCGTCCATCGCTGCTGAAGAAGTTGGCTGATTTTCGTTGAAGCTTTGCAAATTCTACTTTATCCATTGTGACAGGTTGTTCCAGGGTTTCCAAATAGTGACGGAGGTCTCGCCAATAACCAGGCGCTTCCCATTCCTTCATTTCTAAAATCTCAGATTGAGAACAGATCTGAAAAGTGTAGCAAGGCTTCATTACTGGTTCGTCTTCATCAAAATCTTCCTGATCCTTGTAGAATTCCTCGTCGTCACTGGATATTGGTCGTCTTGAGAGTCCATCGGGTAGTGTGAATGTTTTTCCTGGCTTGTGTACTATATCAAAAGAAAATAACTGGATGAAAGCCACCCAGCGGGTCATTGGTGCATTGGGAAGAGATGGAGAGTTTATCATTTGAATCAAAGATTTTGCATCCACTTGGAGTTCAAAATGTTGGCCCCAGAGGTAAGTCTGCAATTTCTTCAAACTCTGGCTACTGCACGCAAGTCTAATTCAGGCTGAGAGTATCGTGATCGACTGGTGAAAATACTATTGATTCGTAGAGTACTGGTCGGTCCAATCCTGTATCAAGTTCCTGTTGCATCAAAACAGCTCCCGCTGCAATGAAACTTGAGTCCACGGCGAGTTTGATCATTCCGGCGTCCTTCGAATAGTCGATGCTTTTGAGTACAATGTCTTTACCAACAATTTGTTTGAGTTTCTCAAATGCGTTATCACATCCGTCACTCCATATCCATTCTTTCTCCTTCCTAGTTAGCTGCCTCAAAGGAGCTGCAACTTCTGAGAGGTTCTGGATGAATATTCGTACGTAAGTGATTAAGCCCAAGAATCCTCTGAGTTCTGTAAGATTATTAGGTGTTGGCCATGTTAAAATCTTATTCCGTTTTTGTTTAGAAACACGCCGCCCTGTCTGAGAAACCACGTGTCCCACGATATCCAAAGCCGGAACACAGCAAGCAAATTTCTTTCCTGAAACTGTAAGTCCTGCTTCTTCAACCCTGAACAGTATGCGTTCCAAGGTTACAGCATATTCCCAAATGAAACGTCTAATCCCTGGATTGTCAGTTAATACTTCGCCGCCGTAGGTCGTCCTAGGTCCTTTGATTCCACCATCGTCAATAAATACACCAGCATATTCTGGGATCTCGTCTTGCAGGATCCACATCATTTGTGCCTGGTATACTGCTACTGAGTTGGTTGCGCCTTGAGGGAGCCTCGTAAGTTGAAATCGTCCAAGTGGTGTGTCGAAAGTCGTGAGTGGCCTTGATTCTTCTGCTAATTCCCGCTCGTCGTAGCCGCCCATGATGTCACCCAGACCATAACAAGCCCTTCCCGCAAAAGCTTCGATAAATTCCTCGGTTGCGGGAGGTAAACCAGCGTCTTTAATTGTTACTTTGTTCATTTCTTGTAGGTCATGGACTATTTGTAATTTCCCATCATGTTTAGCTACACAGAAGACAGGGCTTGAGTAGCTTGAAGTCGATTGTTCGTATAATCCTGTTCGAACTCGTTCGCGTACTAATTCGGCATATTCGTTCTTGATTGCTGCTGGGATTGGGATTGGTTTCTTCTGCCACGGGATGTGATCAATCACTGGAATGACATAAGGTAAGCCATAAGAGTGTTTTAATAACCCCCTTTCTGCTGGACAGAATGCCAAAGCTTTCTCCCGTAATACAATGAGGTGTCTGAAAAGTTTGATTTCTTCAGGCCACAGCCATCCTTCTGGTCCAAAGTTTATCACACCCAACCTTTCTTCCGTAATTTTTGATGTTGGTTGAAATGGTGGTGGGTTGGGTGTCAACGGTGTCTTATAAGGGTCTCGTGACAATGGTGGTCTTTGTAATGGGGGATTGATTGATTGCGGCATGGCTTGATTGACCGGTCGGACCTTCTTTGCAACTGGTTTGTATTTGGTCATACACCACAAGTTGTCGTCCTTCCAATTACTGCACATGTCTTTTTGGACTGTTGTACCCAATCCATCCACCAGCAAGCTATTGATTCGTATATCCTCGTCTTGGTGTACCGTAACCACAATGTTAGTGTGATTCTTCCTTTTGCGAGTCGGTTTGTTCTTGAGATAACCACAGAATTTCTTTATCCATCCGAACTTTCTCATGACTTTACAGGGCCTAGAGATATCTTCGGAGTTGTCGGAAAAGTGTGATGATAATGCTGCTGTCAGTGGTGTTTGTGGTTGATCCTCGCTGGTTGCCGACAGCGGAGCTTGTGTTAGGTATGCATGAGAGTATGCCGCTCCTGACGGATTCAGACTCTTGAGCTGATTCCATCCACGTCCTTGTCCTATTTTTGCTATCGGTACCGTAATTCGTCGTCCACTATCGCCTTGAAAAGATAGTAATTCGCCTGATCCGGGATAATCGAGTGTGCAATCGTAATCAAACAGAAATGGTCGTCCAAGGATACAGTCTTGTGCTTGCGGAGAGACAAAAAGATGAACTGGTCCGGTAAATCGTCCGATACTAATGGCACAGTTCTCAACTACACCCTTGATATCACACCGATCACCACCAATTCCCTTCATTGGTATGTCTACTTCCACAACTTCCAAGTCGAGATCCATTGCAGCTTGTCTTGGGATAACATTGACCATAGAGCCGGAATCAACCATGAATGGTATCTTCCTCCCAGCAATATGAGTATCAATGTATCCCAAGGCGCAACTGTAGAAACAATTATATTCCCGATCTTCTTCGTCCTGGTTTAACAACATAGATGCTGATACCTTGGGGTCCGCTTTCGTGTCCTTGACGTAGGTTAATTTCGAGTTCTTGTGTTCCGGGATTCGTTTCTGAAGTTTCTTGATCACTTCTTGAGCGTAGGTTGGTGAAATCGAGGTTAGTTGCGAA